CTCCACAAATGTGTGAGGGGAGAACTGACTCCACAAAGTTTTCTTCTGATCTCCACCCAGCACTTGTGTGTGCGCGTGCACACACACACACACACACGTTCGCGTACATGCATGTGCATGATAATAAAATAATAACAGTTAATTTTTAAACCTTTGTGACATGTGCTTTTAATTCTCTGGCTTTCAGCTTCTTACTCTGAACAGGGTACTAACCATACTGACTCCTGTCTGCTTTGATGAACATATGTGAAGCAGTTTTCTCTGGCTGACACAAAATAAACATTCAGCATTATTTCCTTTGAATCTACAATGAAGATTTTCTCTTACAGGTTAAACCCCAGTCAAGATGAACTTTTTATCTTTTTTCAAAGGAATCATTTCATGTTCTCATGCTTTTGCCAGTGTGTCATCTAAGGGATTGTAGAGACTCGCAGTGTGTCCTTGTGAACTGCTTACAGGGTTTCTAGGGCTGAGGATGCACCTCCAGCTGGTAGAGGGCTTGCCTAGCAGGCACAAGCCCCTGTATTTATTTGATCCTCAGCACTGCTTAGGGTGGTGCATCCCTGGGATACCATCACTGGGAGCCAGAGGGAGAAGGATCATAAAGTCAGGGTCATTCTTGGCTACCTACTGAGTTCAAGACCAGATGAACAACAAGAGACACTTTCTCAAAAAACAGTCAACAAAACAAGGTTGAATAGTGACCCTAGTTTAAAGAAAGAGATTAAAGGTGGGTCAACACTAATATCCAATTTTTAAAGATATATTTTTAATCTTATGTGTACATGTGTGTGTGGGGTATGTGCATATGAGTGTGCAAGATGCCCTTGGAGGTCAGAAGCATTGGACTGCAATGGAGCTTGAGTTAGAGGCATCTGTGAGCTGCCTAGTATGGGTGCTGATAATTGAACTCAGATCCACAGTTACTTATAGGTCGGATTAATGCTTTGCCGTTTTTTTTTTTGTTTTGTTTTTTTTGTTTTTTTGGTTTCTAGAGCTGGAACTGAATCGAGGCCTTAGGCATGCCAGGCATGTGCTAAACCACTGAGCTACACCCACCCCTTAATACTCTGCTTTTAAGCTGCTGAGATTCTTACCCAGTAAACACCAGGCATATTTTGAGGTCTTTCCATCTGACTGGAATGTCTAGCCTGCTGTTTTCTGGTGATTGTTTAAATTCATAAAATGTGTAAAGTTTGTAGTTAGCAATTCACATATCCCTGAACAACCTTTCTCAGTGTGATTCTAGTCTGTACAGTCTGGCCACCTTGGCCTCCCTATTTTCTACCTGTGTAACTCCAGAACACTGTCATGCTCTTTGCATATTTCTTCCCTTACACTGTTAGCGACTCTCGGATGTAATCCCAACTCTTAGGAGGTGGAAGCAGAAGGATTGGCGTTCATGGTCTTCTTCGGCTACATATGAACTTTGAAGCCAGCCTGGGATACTTGAGATCCCATCTCAAAACAAAGAACAAAGGTTACTATGACTCTGTCTCAAAATGAATAAGTAAATAAATAATAAAATAAAAAAGAGAGAAAGAAGAGGAAAAGAAATGCTGAGCGGTGACGGTACAAGCCTTTAAGGATTTCTATGAGTTCAGGGCTAGCCTGGTCAACTGCTTCTAGGGTCTCATTGTTCCCACTGTCTGGTAAACAGTATATGACAATAGTTGTTTCAGTGTTAACTGTGTCACAATGACAATTCTCTTGATAGACATTCTTCACAATAAAATTACCTACTGTTATTTTATCAACTGAAAATATACGTCAAATATGTATTTCTGTTGGTAAAGAACAAAGCCCCTAGTTACATTCTTATTGAAAGAAACTGAACAAAAACCTCTTTGGGACTGATACTCCCCAACAGAAGCAAAGATTAACTTCAAACGAATTTCAGTCTTTTTCAGGCTCAGAAAATTCAGATTAATCTCTCCACACTGAAAGAAATACCAAAGCAAGGGGATGAATTTGAAAGGCCTTTTACATTTGAATAGATCTTTCTGCTTCCAAAAGTCTAAAGTTGCCCAGATAGCAAGAGGTTTACTGCAGTGCTCATAAAATTATCTGAAACTCAGACACAAGGAAATCAGCATCATTCAGAACTCAGTCGTACAGAAATGACACTGAATCTCTGTACTTGCTAAAAATTGCAAGGAAATCTTTCTTGCCAGAGGGGTCAGCTCCCTAAGTTTCTACAGGTGGCTTCGTTTTAGACAGGCTGGAACTGCAAACTCCTCTGCTACCTCCCAGAAGGTTCAGCCTCTTCCTGCAAATGCAAATGTGAACGCAATGCTGTGAGGAAATTATCTGTAGAACAGCACAGTGCAGCTGGGCTGTGTCAGTGCCTGGCATCGCACTGGGGTAGGGGTTAATAAATCTTTTCCTTCTAAGTTCTGCCTTCAAGAGCTTTTGCTCATTCCAGATTAAAACCAGGAACTGACACACTCTGGAAGGTGTTCCAAAGTTTCCTGGAAGAAGCTGAGACAGTATTAAAGTGTTTGAGAAAAGATTTTAGGCTCATCTAGACACAGACTTTGCAGTTGGTCTTTAAGAAATCGGAAGCTGCATAGCTGAGAAGCCTAGAAATGAGTGTCAAGTCTGAGTCTGAGTCTGGGTCTGCTTATGGCCAGAGGGTCATAGAGAATGTGGGAGCTACTTTCCTCAGCAGCTGGATGCATCACTGGCAGCTGTGATTGGAAAGATAAAGAAATCCACATCTGCTTAGAGTTCAAATGTTATATGAATCCCTTGTGAAAGTACATAAATTCCTGAAAGGGCCCTATTTCTAAATCAAGAAAAAATAAGGCTATTTGGGCTGTTTTCCATAGTCATCTCTATATGCCATATCACCAAAACCAATCCAACATACTTCAGCATACCATATCCTCAATGAGTTTCTTATGACTGACCAAGGGACTAAGAAGGAATTGGCAAAGACAGTCTGCTGTAGTACAGACTTCACTTACACACAGTGTGTGGGCATTTACATAGAAACCAGGGGACCAGTTCTCTTGAGGCTGAATTCACCTTTCATTCTGTAAAGGGAAAGATGCTATTGCCAGTACACTGGATACCTCTTGTGTGACAGGAGAACAGATATGAGTGATCTCCAGGGTTGCAAGCCAACGAAGCAGCCTTCAAAGCAAAAACAGTGGAAGAAGCATTGCATGAGCACATCAGCGTATCTAGGTCTACTGCAGCTTGAGAGCGAGCCAGCTGTGCAATCCTTCTCCAAGTTAAACAATTCCCATTTATTTAATTCTTTTTATTACTCAGAGTCTAGATTTTCATTAACGATTTTAATTTAATATAGGCTTAAACATAAGGCAGAAGAGAGAAAGAGAGGTGCTTAGAAAGTAAACCCAGGCCTGAGAGTATGGTTGTGAACTTCTCAAACAACAGGCTATCTCCCAAGTTACATCATTTGATTAATTACAAAGTGGGCAAAATACCAATATTATCTGTTTGTCAGGATAGTTGAAATGATCTAATAAGATTCAGGATGATTTTTAAAAGGTTACATAAAGAAGCAGAGAACTGCTCAGAACAGTATGGAGGAGCTTGTAAACTAAATGGAAACAGCTGGACACTGTGCCCACCTACTTCCTCTACACGGTGAGCCACCATATGAGGGTTTGGCATGGAACGCTGGTCTTCTGCAAGGGCAACAAGTGCTCTTAACCACTGAGTTAAGTCTCAGCCTCCTGTCCCCGATGTGTTCTGATGCCTTGCTATATAGCAACTCATGATCCTCAACTTCCTAGTATTGGGATTACAGGTGTGTGCCACCATGTCCAGCTCAACAGTTTTTCTTTCCTATCACTTGAGTAGCATCCCAAGAACATTTCCTTCAAGATTTCCTTCACACTCACGATCAGCTGGTTGATAGAAGAAGCCTTGTTTTTGGCTTCTCTCAGGTTTGACATGCCTTCTTCCTTAAAATTAAGCATTTATTTCAAGTGATACAACTCAATTTTCTCCTTGCACACTTATAGGCCACAATAGGGTTAGTAATTGCCTAATTTCAACATCCTGCCTTGGAGAGCAGGAGGGTCCAAGAAGAGGGAGAAAGAAGGGAGATGGCTCACCGCAGAACACTTGGAACATGTGCAACACTTAAGTTCAGTATCTATAGAGGTACCAGCCACACCCCTAAAACAAAGCGACCGTAAGATCAAAGATCACTGAGCAGAATCACTACAAAATACCTCGTGACAATGGAAGAGTCAGACACAGAGGCAATCCCCAGCGAGGGAGAGGGAGAAAGAGCACACAGCACACTGTTACAGAAACGCTGCCTGTCTGTACACTTGCATGATAGGAACCTGCACAAAGCTTGAAATAGTAAAGAACACAAAGCTGAAAAATGCAGTGAGAGAAACGCCGTAACATGCAGTCTCTCTGTATTTACTTTATTCCTTTTACTTATTACAGAGCATATTTGCCAAGAGCAAGAACTTTGGAGTCAGGTTGCAAGGGCCTTAATCTGGGTCTGTCATTCACTATGTACCCTTCCCAGTCATTTAGCTCTCTGGTTCTATTTCAGAACTATACTGGGTTCTTAATGGGCATCACTGTGAAGATGGCTAATAATATTTCTGACACAGTATAGTCATCTCCTCAAAATAAGGTACTCCAAAGCCTACAACCATAGGCTCAAACTGTATTAGAGGACCATACTAAAAACTGTATGGACTGGCAAGATGATCAGTAGGTAAAATGGCATGTGCTATCAAGTCTGATGACCTGAGTTCAATACCCAGAACCCACAAGGTGGTAGGAGAGAAACGACTCCTCAGAGCTGTCCTCTGATCTCCAAATGTGCACTGCTACCTTTAATGTGCATTCCAAACACCTTAAATAGGTCACTTTTGCAACCTACATACACACATGAACAATACCCAATACATAAATGTTATTTTTTTAAAAAGGAAATGTTTGGAAAGGATAGAAAGGGGGAGGAGGGAATGGGGAGAAATAGAGTTAGGAAGACTTACCACCATTTTTGCCTACAGTTCGAAAGCATCTCCAGAAGGCCCGTAGAAACGACGCCCTGTTGTGGGGTGTGGCTTGTATGAAGCTGAATTCCCGGAAGAGAATGTGAGTTCCTTGGCATACACTGTTAAAACTGGAAAAAGGAAAATGAAGAATTCATCATTAGATGAAATTCAGAAGGCTGGAACCAGAATGAAATGTAAAACCAGAGAGAACCACTGGTGAACAAGGGGGGGGGGTGTCTATTTTTCCACTTGCAAAATTCTCAACTAGAAATTAGATCAAGTCCTTCTATAATAAAGTCTTTGAACAACTGTGGCCCCTGGAAGGTCATGTCACCTCTGCTGTATGTCTCCCAGGAAGGTTTAAGGTTAAACGAGAATCCTTGTCTTTACCTGGATGAAACTGCTACTTGTATCTTTGGGGAATACCTCTCCTTCACTCCCACTGGCACCAGGAACATCTTGAGCAGGCCTTGCTTCCCTAATGACATCCTTTGGCACTAGTCCAAGCTGTGCCAGCTGCTCAAGGGTGACACGGCTGAGGACAGACCTGGATTGTCTGTCTGTTTTAGGGGTACTGCAGTACTATGCACACCACTACAATAGAGACACATCCTATGTGTCAAAGGATAGAAATGATTCCAAAGGAACACTAGAGACAAATTAGAACAAGGAGAGAAGTGGCCCCTCCATAAAAATGTGAAGCAAAGCCCCAGGGCTCATGTGAGTCATTGTTTAAACTGGGCCAGGGACAGGAGGAAAAAATGTACTCTGTTGCTTTTGGATTTTCCTGCCAAAGAAATAGACACTGTAGAGCCCAGTGTAATCTACAAATGGAAATTCTATAGGAGACTAAGCAATTATCCAATAAACGTCAGCACCAAGGGCAGCTTCAGACTCCAGGAACTCCTACATTCTCTAACAGGAAAATGATGAATGTAAAATACATTTATTTTTGTGGTAACAAGACAGTAAAGTGAAGGTGGCAAGCAATAAGGGGACATCAGTAATTTCAAATTCCAGTTTTCATTTGATGGCCATCTAAAAGAAGGATATGGATCACTGAACTGAACAAGAAAACATTTCAAGAGCCATCTCGTCCATTTCCTGTCTCACAGAGGAGCCCCCCTCAGGGGAGAATGTCTACTGTCTTAACAGAATATGTTATCATTAAGGATAAAATCAGCCTTTCTAATATTAACAGTGCTGTGGTGAAAAATCAGATTAAATACTCTTCTCATGGAAAAATACAACGGAAATCAACATTTAACACACTACAAGGCCAGCTGAGAACACTTGGCAAGGCGTGGTATAGAAGAGAGGCCTTTAAAGCTATGCAAGGGTTAATCTAGCCATGACGTTTATGGCAGTGCCATTGTTATCTTACATAAGAAAAATGAAAATTATAGCAAATGAGCCAGGATAGAGAAATGGGGCAGACTACATTCCCAGCAAATGGAATCTAAAATGATAACATTATATCCTAAATTTATGAAGCCATCTGACAATGAATAGCTTTCCGAAGTCCCAAAGCATGTTTTATACGCAGGGCAGAAAGTTAGTGTCTAAGTCATGGTCTAAACTGCAGAGGAACTAATGATGGTGAAATCACATCCTTCACACAGTTTTTAAATTTTAATTGTGTGTGTGTGCACATAAAAAAGACTGTAGGTGCCCACAGAGGCCAAAGGTTTTCAATCCTGGTGGAGCTGCTGGTACAGGCAGGTGGTGAGTCAGCTAATGCGAAAGCTAGGAATTAAATGTGGACCCTATGTAAGTACATGCTCTTAACCACTGAGCCATGTCTCCAGTCCCTCAATGGAGTTTTAGACCCTATCTCAAACACAACAGTTCTCTGTGATTCTGTCCCCGGGGCAACACAGGTCATCATACCTCATCTATGAGTCTCTAATAATTCAACATGCTTTCTCTATTTAAATTTTTATTATTTATTTGCTTACTTATTCATTTACTGGAGATGTGTGTGCCAAGGCACACATGTGAAGGTCAGAGAATAAGTTGTATGAATCAGTTCTTCCCTACCACGCGGATTCCAGGGATGGACTCAGGTCATACAATGCAATGTGAACCTCTCCAACTTCAGCACGGCTGCTCTCACTGTCTAGACGCTCACTGGATGGGTAGACTCTGGGTCTGGTTAACTGCACTGCATGACATCTTTTATTTGTAGGTTCTTTGTAGTAATTTTTTTTTATTTTTGTTTTTTCAAGACAGGGTTTCTCTGTGTAGCATTGGCTGTTCTAGAACTAGGCCTATAGACCAGGCTGGCTTCAAACTCACAGAGATCTGCCTGTCTCTCTGCCTCCCAAGAGCATACGCCTTTAAAGGCGTATGCCACCACTACCCAGAATAATAAAGTTTTAATTAAATAAAATGAAAGAATCAACATTAAAAATCAGCCAGGCAGTGGTGGCACACACCTTTAATTCCATCACTTAGGAGGCAGAAGCAGTGGATCTCATTGAATCTGAGGTCAGCCTACTCTACAGAATGAGTTCCAGGACAGCCAGGGCTGTTACACAGAAAAACCCTGTCTCAAAAAACAAAAATAAAAAATATTATCTCTAACTTTGAAGAAATACAATGAAAATGGAGCAGCATGTCATAGCTACTGATGTCTATGAGCAAGGACAGAGAGAGAAAGAAAGAGACCTGCTAGGGAAACCTACAGACACCAGGGCCGGGGCCTTTCCACTGTTGAGAAAATCCATGGCAGCCTTTCTGTAAAACAGCTTTATGGTTTCTCAGTATTTCAGTACTAGTTACATATCCAAAACAGAGAGAAGAAGACATCTGTACACTAGAGCGTGTACCCAAGCTTCTGCCATCCCATTGCCCCCGGGAGGTAGTGGGGGGTGGTGCAGAGACAGGAGAATGCCCAAAATATTGTCTGCCACCAAGTCAGCTATGCAGCAGAAAACCAACAGAGAGTCTGTCTCAAACAAGGTGTCACCTGACTTTTACGCACACTCTGTTGCACACATGTGCCCACATCTGTACACATAAATGAGCATGTGCGCGCGCGTACACAAACACACACACACACACACACACACACACACAGAAACACAAGGAGAAGGAAATTCTCAGGTAAAACGAGGCCATGCCTAAAAATAGTTTAAGAACCCCATTTTAAAGAATGCACTTGCGTTTGTTTAATTTTGTAGTTTTACCTCCCAGGTTTTGTTATTTTAAGATCATTACTACTGCTTTCATTGTCTCAGAGACAATGCTCACTGGCTACCTTCTCAACATCAGTTTTCCTCATGTAGACAGGACTCTCAGTGCACAGGCATCTCGAGTGGGAGGTTTTTCTTCTCTCCAAGGAACAAACTCGCCTAGACCAGGTCACGCAATGGATGACTTTAAACTCCATCTTGATATTATGATGATATCACTGAATTCCTGTGTAGCATGAACCCCGGAGTATTCAAATTTCACTACAAACATTCTTTCATTCTTTCAATTGTTGGTTTTTTTTTCTTGAAAGACTGGAGTTTTATTCTTCAAAAAGTTGGCAAACCCCAAAGATACGTTTCTCTGTACAAATTGGTCCCTGAAGTAACAATCCCTGGATTTGTTCTTTCCTTCCTTGTGAAGCTCAGACAAAGGCCTAAATTTCTTAAATGGTTGTTGGGTGTGTTTGTTTGTTTGTTTGTTTTTGCATTGACAATGTGCTACAGAATTTGGCAATGGTAACTTGATGAGAGAAGTCAGTGGAGCATGACCACGCAGCCTGGGTTGCAGAACTCTGGAGTTGTTTAGACAGCACACTTGAGCAGAAGCTGCCTTGAACCCACTGCTTCTTCTTAGACCTTTCTAGACATGAATTCAGCCACAGTGTTACTAACCTTTCTACTTCACTGCCCTGTTATTACCTGCCATCCTGTTATTCTATGTACAGTGTACCTACGAGGGGGAAGCGAGTGATGAGCCTGTGTACAAGGAGTGTTTTGACAAAGGTGACTTTAATATGCAGTGCATTTGGAATGAGCCTCTATATGCAGATATGAATCGGGAAAACTGTTGGGTTCACTGACTGTACATCCTCTGAGCAGTACCAAGTCCACTGGACTGGAACACAGAGACCAGGCTGGCTGGATGATCCAGTAGGAAATGGCATCTGCCATCACGGGTCTGAGCTCTGTCCCTGGAACCCACATGGAGAGAACTGACTCCAGCTAGCCATCTTCTGGTTTCCATGTGCACTTCATGGCACTCATGTGCATACACACACACACACACACACACACACACACACAGGGCCAAATACATGCATGCACATACTCTAAATCAATCAACAATGTGGTTTAGAAAAAAAAAACCCAAGCACAGAGCCTGCTACACTGACAAGATCTTTGGATTCTAAAATAACCCCAAGCTAGGTTACAGAGACGGGTCAGCGGGTAAAAGCACTCGCCTGATGACTGAGGCTGTCCTCCAGGCCAGGGATGGTAGTGCACATCTTTTTTTTTTTTTTAAATTAAAAAGACAGGATTTCTCTGTGTAGCCCCAGCCGTCCTGGAACTCAAACTCAGGCTGAACTCAAACTCAGAGATCCACCTGCCTCTGCCTCCTGAGTGCTGGGATTGAAGGTGTGCGCCACCACTGCCTGGTCTGTAAGGCTGACCAGTGGTACTGTTTTACTCTCTGATCTTCAGGCAAGTTTTATTTATTAAAAATACAAGTGAAATATCATTACAGCCAGGGATATACACACCTTGTCTCAAAAATGAAAAAGGAAAGTAAAAAAAAAAAAAAAAGAGTTGTCTTCAGACCCCCACATGGGGGTCACACACAAATAGTAATTCATAAAGTAAAAAAAAAAAAAAAAGATTAGTCCCAAATTTTGGAGGAATTTAATAGGGACTAACCAATCCTCAATCACTATGTAGGTGAGCCAGGCTGGGACACGGAGCAGTCACGGAGGTGTGTGACTCAGTTTCTGTGAAAGACCCAGATGAGCCCACCAGGTCACTGAGGCAGTGGCATTTCAAGTCAAGATTTGTTTTCTGACCAGGTAACTGTCCTGGCAGAGTTCATCTCCAGACCGTGACAGTAGTGATAGACTTTTCTGCAGTGCAAAGAGAAGAACCTATGAGAGCCCACA